AGGACAGTGCTGCCAAACTACATAAACTTAAAATATCGAAAAATATACAGCGCGCGAATTTTAAATGAGAATTTCCGAGAACTTTTCGGTCACGATGTAAGAGAGTACGCCTAATATAGCTAACCCTGTATTTTATCGGCATGATATAATTAATGACACATTTGACGTCACTGCTGGACTCTGCATTTATTCACTTGTAAAATAAATATTACAAACACTTAATAATTATTTTACTGTTTTATTTGTGTTGAACTATTAAAGATTAAAATATATAAATAGATCCCAAATTACGGCGTTCGACTTATTGTTCCGATGCGAGTCAACCGACAACTGACTACTCTCATTGTCGTTTTGATAAACATCATACTGTTCCCTCACAACAGGGTGATCTTCATTCACACACTTTAGCAATCAATAAAGAAATATTATTGTTTATGATTCCATTAATATTATTGTGGCAAAGAAATCTGCAATAATATAAATATTTCAATATTTGCTCATGCTCAAGAAAGTCTTTCTCAGACCTTTCACATTGTTGCCATCAACGCGTCTGAAACCATCTATGCAATCTTTATCTAATTGATTCAGGTTTTTTTTCTTAATTTCCTCGATTAATAGTGTTAGTCATAAAGTTCTATACATATTTTTTTTACATCTACATAAAAAAATTAATTGCAGTTGAAGAATCAAAAGGTAACTAAATTGTATATAATTAAATTGAAGAAAAATTACACAAACAAAATTATATTTAACCAAAAAAATTATATTTTTGATTTCAATGTATCTAAAACCTTTTCAGTAATTTATTGTTTTAAGTTCCTATCATTAAATATTATTTATTATTAAAAGTTTTAACGTGAAATCGCCGAGCAGCCGATACTATGGCCAGAAGAGTCCTATTGTGCCAATTCCACTATTGATTACACAAAGCTCTTTAAAGCTTTTCTATCATAGTATAAACTATTTGATATTAATAAAAATTATACAATTATTATTATAAATTATTTTAGGATTTATTGCTTGCCTACGGCTTATGTTGATATATATAACTAGTAATTACGAGTATCGTAATACGATAAAAATTTCACGACTTTAACATTTTAAGATACTTTTTAAAAAATGTTGGTTTCATAGAATTTTGTTTTATTTTCACAATTTTTCACTGTAAAGTCATTGTTCCATATTAAAAAAAATGATTACATTTTTACCCAACACATATTTAAGTATTAATATTATCATATTACCATCCGTATTAATACTTATATTAATATTAATGACATCCGTATTTCACATGTTTTTAAAATTCCGAGTGCTTCTATATTAAGTATGTGAATATTCAAAAAATTTTCTTAACAGATATATAAAATTGAATGTTTCATCAAAGCCAAAGATAAAATTATTAATATTTAATTTTCGACAAACAAAAACGACATCGTTATAGAGAGTTGTTTTACATGAAACCATTTAAAATTTAAATCACATGAGAATATTCCAAAAGTAGGCTTAAATGAAATTTTTCCTAATTTTACAAAGTTCCAGCAAATAAAATATAATATGATATGTACAATATCAAGAAAATTTTTGTTTATATACGTACTTCTTAGCAATTGAGCTAAGTACTCAACCACATTTCTTATCTTGAAATTTGTTTTCTGTTTGTTTCGTAAATTTTTATTTTTCCATGAGGTAGACCCAAAAATTTCACAAATACTTTATGGTTACACAACACTCCAAGAGGCATCATTATAAATGATCTCCCACTTTCCTTTTGCAAAAGGAAAAGTAGCACACAATAAAACTGCCGGATTTTTCCTGTCGGCCAAACCACGCAATACTTTAAAAAGTTTCTTCCGGTTTCTTAACGGCTGTGCTGGTATGCATTGTTATAGTTTCTCCAGACACAAGGACACTAACGTACTCAACACCGTATTCACCAAGGTATAT